CTCCCCCACCTATAAAACCAAACACTCTCTCATCCCAATATTATAATTATTTTATAATATATATATATATATATATATATATATATATATATATAATTTTTATGGACAAGGTCTAAGAAGCCCCAGACTGCCTTAAAACTGTAGTTGAGGATTGCCTCAAACTTAGTGCTTAAGCTTCCTCTTCAGTAAGGATGACCCTGAATATATTTTAATATCACTTGTTTTGTTTTCATTCCTGATTTTATTGCCCATTTATGTACAACCTATTTCCTCTCTGTACCAGAACCTCATCTAGTGAGTAACTTAACAACTGGCCAAAACCTTTCCACCCTCCACTTACCTCTTTCTCCTCCTCTCGTCTCCTGTTTTTACTATACAAAGTGTACTGGTCAGTGTAGGAAGTGGAAGGGGAGGAGCTTCAGCTCTTTAGCCTAGTAGGTGTATGGATGTTGTGTTTGTCTTAAAATTTTAATTAATATCCTCATGTGATGTTTTTAATTGAGACATAATTGTAAATCTTTATGGCCTACACTGATAGTTTACTACATGGGTGTAATGTGTGGTGATCAAACCAGCATAATTACTGTCATTTCTCTTTCTTGGGAAGCTGCAAACACCTCTCTCTTAGCTCCTCCTTAAAATAAAATATATAGTGAGTTATTATGTGTAGTCTTCATGCTACGATGTGTATGATAGAACACTGAGAACCTCCAGCTGTTATGTCACTGCACCTTGTTACCCATTATCCCATCCCACCCTCTTCTTAGCCTCTAGTGACCACTGTTCTATTATATTGGCTTTATTTGAGTATGAGAAAATCAGATCCCTATGCATCTTTAACTCTTCAGAAGCATCTCTATTAAAAGTTGCCTCTTAATATAGACTGTGATTATGTGCCCTTATCGGAGACTCGTGTCTATGAGACACATGTCTTTCATTCTGACTGGTAGAAGCTTCTTTTTTTTTTTTTTTTTTTTTTTTAAACTTTTAATGTTATCCCTTCCCCACATGGGGATTCCCTTTTAGGTTTCTGATATGGTACTTTGCACACACACTTTAGTGTGTAGTGGTTATCTATGAGTGTTAGAATTCAGACCAGGCCAGGCCAATGGAAGAAATCACTGGCTGTGGAGGTAGCCGAAAGACCCAGGCTTCAAGTCTCAATGTTACTCCTTGTATGACTGTAATTGTATTACTACAAGCTCCGTGCCTCAATCCTTGTCTCTGACTTGCAGCCAGCATTGCCTGTAGGAGGCTGTGGTAAAGAGGGTAACACCTACTGGGAGTTGTCAGTGTTCTTTCCCTAATTAAAAAGATTTGGATCTGGACGTTGGTTGCTCATGCCTTTAATCCCAGCACTTGGGAGGCAGAGGCAGGCAGGTCCCTGTGTGTTCAAGGCAAACCTGGTCTACAGAGTGAGTTTTAGGACAGCCAAGACTAAACAGAGAAACCCTGTCTTGAAAACAAAACAAAAAACAAACAAAACAAAAAAAAATTTTTTTGATTGCCCCCACTACTTCAAGCTACACACATACCTGACTATCTAAAGTAGCAGGAGTTAATTCAAGTTGTTGACTAAAAATATCATTAATTTTAAAAAAAATGTTAAATGAATAGGATTTAATCCACTTGTAGTGCAATAACTAATATTTGAAAAACACTGTTTTCTACATACTTAGGACCTTGAAATTCATTATTCTCAAAGATACAGGAGAATCCTTTGCTTATTTGTTTTTGTGGTTTTCTTCCCCCTTTCCTTACATTACTACCTCCCAAGGAGCCTTTAAAATCTTTCATTTCCTAATCTCTTTTCCTGAAAGTTTAATGCCAAAGACATAGTGTATGTGACTGTATATTTATGTGTACCTGTACTCGGTATTTAAAATGATCAAATTTTGCCACCTCTGTCTTCGAAGATCAGTCATCACCCGTTTGTGCTGTACTGTCCCTCTCAGGAACACAGGTCAAACCCCCTGGAAATCATTTAGTGGTTTGGATCTAGGCTGACAGTGGAACTAAGAATAAATGCCTCTTGCCTCACTGATGAGCTGCGTGAACCTTCAGCAGTCTCTTAAGTTTTGAAAGAACCCATTTATTCATCTACAGCATGGGAAGGCAATTAGCTTTGTACCAGTAACATGAGAATTTGATGGGATAGTTTGTAAAATACACTCAGTATCTGTGTTAACTGTTCAATGCACATTGATTATTATTAAATTATCCAATTGATCATCACCTCTGTCCAGGTCATTTGAGCAACAGATGGGAAAATATATATATATATATATATATATATTTGCCTTTGGAGGAAAAGCATCTTAAGGTTTTTGTTGTTGTTTTGTGTTAACATAAGGTAAAGTTCTTATGGACCTTCACAGTAAATAACTACAAATAAAATTTTCACCTCTGTGTATATACATATGTACATATATGTGTGTATCTATATCTATCTATATCTATAAGAGAGAATGTGTTATTATGAGTTTACATGTTAGGTTATAGTACAGGTCACTATTAAATGATTCTAAACTTCATTTTTAGATATTTGATTTAATGGATGCCAAAGCACGTGCTGACTGTATCAAAGAAATAGATCTCCTTAAGGTAAATAATGAACTATGGGCTATTTATTAATATTTCTGAACCTGTTGATAAAATTACTTATCAAAATGTCACAAGTCTAAGTAAAACAATCTTTCAGGCTTGTTTGATGACATACTGGTTTTAAGTAACACTGCATAAATTAAGAGTGTGTTTTGGAGAATATAAGTTTGATATGTGGTGAAATAATTAAATCAGAATAGATAGATACACGGGTCTAAAACACTGGAGAAGTTTTTGTAGAGCATTCTGTGTAAGCCCATCCTACTGGCTAAGTGATGGAAGTGCATATTGGTGTCACATCACAATGTGGCATACTAAGAGCCTGGACTAACCCAGGCACTTCACATTCATAAACCTTTTTAAATCACTTCTGCAGACTTAGGCAAGGTGAATATAGACAGTGTGCCAGGAATTAACATTTAGTTCTTTGTCTGCCTGAGAGTGTGATGAGGTTCCAGTAACCTGAACAGTATTTCATTGTTAGTGATCTTGCTCAGAATTGCTTCTGCTGTATTTATTTGTTTTCAGTCAAGTATGATGGCCCATGCTTGTAAACCCAGCACCTGGGAGGCTGAGACAGGCAGAACCTGAGTTCAGGCCAGCCTGGACAATGAAGCAGGAGCTTCTCTTTAAAGAAAAGGAAAAACTTGGTGTTTTATACATCTGTGTATGTTCTTAAAGTGTATCAGTTTTAACCAAAGTGTTTCAAAGCTGTGCTTTCTTACTCTTCGTATTTGAAGTAACCGTTTTACACACACACACACACACACACACACACACACACACACACACATACGCACGTACGCGCATGGACACACACACGCCTTTTAAAAATAGAAATAGCATCACTATGAACAGTACGGAAGAAAAACTAAGAATAAAGAAAATCATATATAATTTATGAGAAATTGTCTTGTGTTAACTTGTTTAAAGTTGGAACAGAAAAATCATAATATTTTTGGATAGATTGCTGCATATATTTTTACAGGGAGAGAGATTTTTCCTTAGGAATGATCTTAGTCAACTTACTTAGATAGGTTTCATGTATTTATGTTTCTTGATAATATTTAGATTTCTTGATCTAAAAACAATATTTAGATACTGAATAGTAGATGTTAATTGTGGTTTTGAGCAGTCTAGTTGTGTAGGAACAGCTCTAATTTTAAAAGTGGAGTATAAAGAGATACTTTTACAGTTGAATGTTCTTGCATGACAGTTCTAATTTTGAAGGATATAATTTTGAGCAGTTAATGATTCAATTCTACCATGCCATTCACTTACTGCATTTATTTATATGCCTACTAGTCATAACAGTACTTAAAAAATCTTGAGTACATCATTTATTATATCTAATAAAATATTAAAATAAATTTATTCATAACTAGTTTTACTTTGAATAATTATGTGTTTTAAAATTGACTATAATAAAAATATGCTGTCAAGATGTTTGCAATTTAAAAATGAGTTGTCATAGCTGAATTAAAATCATTAAAAACTTTATGTGATTCTGGCATTTAAAATAAAAGTTTTAATTTCTACTTTTTTCTTTAGCAACTCAATCACCCAAACGTTATTAAATATTATGCATCTTTCATTGAAGATAATGAACTGAACATAGTTTTGGAATTAGCAGATGCTGGTGACCTCTCCAGAATGATAAAGGTAAGTTTGTTCCTTTGTTTATCTTTCTGACAAAGTTGTCTATGAAGTGTATACCATGGTAGCTATTTTAAGGACCTCACTGAAATAGCATATGTCAGTGGAAGGAATGGAAATGGTTATAAAGTGAGCTTACTTAGCAGAGTTCACCAGAGTTGTCTTACATTTCTAAAGGCACCGGAATCACTTTGGAGATAGGCTTAGAGACTTGTTTTCTGAAGTTCGAGTGTTACATACTCTTGAGCAGAGTATCCTTGAACCTTTGTCTTCCCACCTCAGGGAAAGGAACAAAGAAAGACATCTCCAGGCTGGAGAGATGGCTCGATTGTTAAAGTGTTTGCTGCCTAAGGATGAGGAGCTGAGAGCAGGTCTCCAGAACCCATGTAAAAAAGCCAGGTGCAATATTGGGTACCTGTTATCGAAGTTCTCCGGAGTTGAGACAGAGGGTTCCTTGGAACTCACTGGCCAGGGAGTAGAGCTGAATAGGTGAATTCTAGGTTCAGTGAGAGACCCTGTCTCAAAAATAGAAGATAGGGAATGATCGAGCCTCTGGCACAGGTATCTACACATAAAGACACAGTGCCATGTACACACACACACACACACACACACACACACACACACACACACACACAC